GCTATATGCCTAGAAAGACTGTACACTGTAAGAGCTCCCCTTGACTTTGGATGGCCTCAGATCTCCATTTTAATTTTAGTTTAGATAAATTCAGTCAGTTTAGATAAATTCTTTTGGAGACTTCTCATCACTGCCAGAGCCCTAACAGATTTTTCCAGTTGTTATTAGATCGAGTTCAAAGATTTTTATTGTCAATTCATTATACAGTATGTGCAGGACATACAGAAAATCGAAATACGGCTTCTCTCTCACCTAGTATTGAATGCCATATCATTTAGGAAACTAAAATAGAATAAAAGTAGAGTAAAACTAAGAAATAAGAATAAGAATACTAAGTTAAAGTAATTAGGATAAAACTGAACGGTGCAACCTAATAGGCTATGACTCAACCCATGTACAATCAGTGACAGTAGTTCAATTAATAACCAGAAGCTTGTCAGATGGTTGTGGGATTGAGATGCACATGGACAGTAGTTAAAATGACTGTAATGTAACAGAAGGTAAAACAGCAGAGGTAGTTTTTTTTTTGTTTCCACAACAGTCACCTGTAAAATAACAAAAAGGGGGAATATATTGAGTTTGTGCAAAACAGCAGAGGTAGTCTTTTTATATCTTTTTATGTTCTGTGGTGGGTCACAGTCCAGGGGCAGGGGGCAGAGGGGGGGAGGTAATGGACAGCGTTCAGCATCTTCACAGCCTGGTAGATGAAGCTGTTTGTAAGTCTGGTGGAGTGGGCCAGTAATGATGCTCTCAATGGTGCCCCGGTAGAAAGAGCGCATGATGGGGGTGGGGCACTAGCTCTCCTCAGTTTGCGGAGGAAGTAGAGGCATGATTGAGCCTCTTGGCCAGTGATGTGGTGTTGTTGGTCCAGGAGAGGTCCTCAGAGATGTGCACCCCCAGGAACTTGGTGCTGCTAACTCTCTCCACTACAGCACCGTCGATGGTCAGTTGGGGATGCTTTAGAGATTTCCTCCTGAAGTCCACGACAGTCTCTTCAATCAGGGAGAGGTTTTGAATCCCAAGTATCCAAGTTTTTGTGTAAGCTGCTGGGGAATGATTGTGTTGAATACTGGACTGAAGTCTAGGAACAGCATTTGCATGTAAGAGTTCTTTGAATCTAGGTGGGTGAAGGCTGGATGGAGAGCAGCAGTAATGGCATCCTCTGTGGGCCTGTTTGACCTGTATGCAAACTGTAATGAGTTGTGAGAGGAAGGAAGGATGGACTCGGTGTTCTGCATGACCAGCCGCTCGATGCACTTCAAATAATTGAAGACAGTGCTAAAGGCCGATGGTCATTGTAACTGGTTGGGTGGGGCTTCTTTGGAATTGGAATTATTGCGGCGGCCTTGAAGTACATGGGAACAACCACTTAGCTCAGGGAGATGTTAAAGATGTCCGTGAAGACATCCTTGAGCTCCTCGGCACAGTCCTTTAAAACACGACCAGGTATGTTATCCGGTCCAGCTGCCTTGCGTGGGTTGATCCTGGGGAGGGCCTGCTTCACGCTGGCTGCAGACAGACACACAGCCTGTTCGCCCAGGGGAGGGGTGGTCTTCTATGCTGGTGTGTTGTTCTGTGTTTCAAAGCGGCTGTTCAGTAGAGAGATGCTGCAGCATCATTAGAGACCAGAAGCCCCAGGCCTCGAAGATCCTCTGTGACTTCCTGGTCCAATGTTTTGACTTATTCCCTATATCCATAAGGCAGTGGTGACTGTATCTTGAGCGCAACATAGACGTTGAACTACATGCACCAGAACATAAATACTACAAATGCGAACACACACTAGAACACACATTATTAGACACACAAACGTGAGAGAGATGAGCCATGTTGTCTTCATATTAAATATATTTATATAAAATATATGAATATCATCATGTATTGGAGCATAAATAGTCCCAAAACTCCATCCTTCATAACAGCAAAGTAGGAAAAGATAACCTTCTTGTTGTGACCTCTGCTCATTTATTTTCCTCCTCTTCTCATAAGGTTATTTCGCCAGCAGGGACAAAGATGATTCAAAGAGTGTTTGCAAAAAAATGACTAAACACATGTGAGTGTGTGCACATGGCAGACAGCTAATTATTGCTTTCCAAGCTAATGTAATTGCAGCTCGGACATGGAGAGACAGAGCTGATGTCAGGATGGTTTCTGTCCCGCCGAACTCTCCGCAGGGGTATTTCTCTAATGTAGAACTCTGACTGGGTCACTCATTAGGGCCCAGTGCAACATGGGGCTAAAGGGTCAAATACATTCACACATTTCTGCCCTCCACTGGGGCAATTAGACCTCTGAGAACAAGGAGTGCATGTAATGAACTGTGTCTGTCAGGGTGGCATTCATTAACTGTGACGATGTTATTGTTGGCCAAGTTGGCAATGGATCCCACTTAAGGCATCCAAGTCATCCTCTTTCCTCAGGACTTAATCTCAGCCTATATACCCACCACAGGCCTTGGGGTTAACAGACACATTCACTGGAGATACAAAAGAAAAGATAGGTGTTGCAGGATTTAAAATTTGTTCTTTCAAGACAAGAGAGAGAGTCTGTAAGAGGGTATGTATAGGAGACAGATGTCCTTGTGCCAAAACCAGCTTATGCCTCAAACAATAGACTGAGTGTGGGTGAGGGGTTACTGGCGTTTGAATGTTCTTTAGTCTAGAGGGAGAAGAGCTGCTGTTGGGAAGGGGAGGGGCAAAAGCTGGATTTCTTATCCAGAGCTGCCTTTGTAATAGAATGCATTCGAGCTCCAGACTGAGGTGTGGTGTGGACGAATGAAGAGCAGGGTGCGTGTGCCCTCATTTGTGTGCAAGGTTTATATTGTTGAAATAGGGAAATGCTTTCTACAATCTGGAGTGCATGCTATCGTATTTCTGTCTCAGGTCTTACATGGGTTAAATCCATGTGCACTTGGAATCCTCTGACAAATACTCTGCAGTGGATAGAGACGGATCATGACATCTGAGGCTGCAGGTGCTAGTTCATAGCTTCCTTTGGTAAAGCACTTGGTGCTGAGGGTAGCTGCTGAGTGGAAAGACATGCTTCCTGGTGGCTAATGAGGTGCTGAACCCAGCTTCTTGTTTGTGTCGGGAGTACCTGGGCCGACCACAGACCAGGCCAGACAAAGGAGTCAGTATAGCATATACACAAAGGTCTGCCCATTCAAGACCTCGAGAACCCAGCGACACAAACTTCATAAAATGAAGGCCAGACAGAATGTGAGCTGGGACTGTTCTCTCTGCACAAGGAAACTATTGTTTATCTTTACACGCCCTCTCTCCCAGGCCTTTCGATCTTTTACTCAATAAAGAGTTGTAACTGAAGAAAAGCAACTTGGCAAAGGGGCAGCGTGCACGCTGTTTGTCTCTTGGAAATGTAACAGAGATAAAAGCTGCAGCTCATGATTTCCACATCTGTCTTCTCTGTCTGACATAAAGGTTTTGTCAGCTCTAGCTCATAATAAGAAGCTCACCTGGCGAACAGAAATAGCATGGAGGGGATTTCTGACATTTCTTCTACAGTGAAACGTCTTCATTCAACCCACAGCACAGTCTGTTTAAAGGCCTTATCATTGGACTGATGTTATTACCTTTAACACCAAATGACATACTAACACTTGTGGCCTGTTAATAAGTATTTAGAAGCTGGATCAGCAGAAAACAGAAATAAACATTTTCTTGTGTATTTTTCTTTACACATCTGTTTTTCTGTTGTCGGTCCTCCATAGGTATTCCAACTGTCACTGGGACCTGTGGTCCAGAAAACATCATGACATTATAACATGACCATGTGAATAGTTGATATAACCACCATACAGATCAGTAATATACAAGATTTTGTTCATGTCAACCTTTCACATTAGTTTTTATCTACCCATTGTGGTATTGTATTTGAAAAACAGGACACACTTTGGTGTCCTTCAGATGCACTGCAATGCTCAACCACCTTGCCCACCTTGACACTCTTGTTTCTGGGTCTCTGTGTAAAGAAAACACTGCTTCCTGCACTGGCACAAAAAGTTTGACCTGCATAATCATCCAATATGAATGCGATTCCTAGGACATTTGGAGGATTGCTATATTTGTATCACCTCAGAGCGTCCAGCAATAAGCATATATGTTTCGTAATTGTTTGTGTGTCTGTCAGGCAGGGCTGCAACTAACAGTTATTTTTATTATCAGTTTAGGTATTGATTATTGCCTATATCAGGGATTTTCAACCAGTGGTCTATGGCCCCCTGGTGGTCCGCAAAGGCACTGCAGGTGGTCTTCAATAATGTACTGTAGTTTCACTGTAGGAATCTTTTTTGCACATTTCCATGTACTGTATTACTTATAGTTTGTGAATAATCTCATTCATGCAAATATGTAACATTTAGAAAAGTAAAGGTGATTATCAGGATTAAAATAATGCCCATTCAGTTTATCCAACCCACAACAGTGGTCCAGCATTAGTTGAAAATCCCTGGCTTATAGTATTGATTATTATTGAATAATCCATTATTGTTTTGTTATGTCAGGAAATAGAATAAAATGCTCATTATAATTTTCCGGAACCCAAATGTCTTGTTTTGTCTAACCAACAGTCCAATGAAATATTTTAAGGAGGTTTTCAATTAAGTATATTTCACAGATATATTTTTGAAGTAAACAAAAGCAGCCAATCTTCAAGTTTGAGAAGCTGAAAGCAGAATATTTTTGATTTATGCCTAAAGAATGATTCAATTAACTGACTAATGCTTTCAGCTCTGATGTCAGTAGCTTGTTTTTTGTAAATTTCTATTAAATATAGTGGACCAGTAGTAATTGGGCCATCCAATGACTGAACAATTGTTGTTGTGGGTGTAAATTTGTGGCTCCCATTGTTTCATTCCTATCTTACATATTAATTAAAAAGAGAATATTCAAAATCTAAACATTTTCTTGGCCAAGAAATCGCTGTATCTTGAAATCCACACCACAGACATGACGTTTTTCTGTCTTTTTATTCTTCTGTCACAGATGCAGGGATCCATCTTTTGGCTCAGGAGGTAATAAGGAAGCCATCCACACTACGCCGGCCACCTGCGCGCACAGGAGAGCCAGTCTCTAGTAAGAACTGTGATCATTTACTACTTTGACTGTACAACACTATGGCATAGGTATACTATATGTTTAAGTATCTAATTCTTGAAGGTAAAGAGAGCTGTCTTTTAGATTGCCTCAACTGCAGTCGAATCACTGCTTTGAGTGACAGGCTGAACTCACTGGAGGCGAAGGTAAGGACTGTATTCATTCTGCTGAACAACTTTGGTCTACATTAACAAACATAATGTCTAATTGCCCACACTTGTTTCATGGCTTTGTGTACCAGGTCCAGTTACTCTCCGCCCCGGTCTCTATATCACATCACCACCTTCAGGGTAAGGGAGGAACTGCACCAGAGACCTCATTACTGAAGGGGGCTGTGCCCGCTCAGGGAGCCCCTGGTGAGCAGGGACCTGCAGGTAGGTGCTTCATGTCATGCATGAATACGTTTTAGGTTAAAATACTGCATATTTCCATTAAGTAGGGTCCATAGCTTTGTGTTATGATAACTGAGTCAAAAATCACTCCTTGTAGCTTTTCTTTACGAGCTCCAACTTTCTGCCTCTACCTGCTCACCTCTGCTCATATTCTATTTCCTCCACTGCACGCACACTCATTTCCTTTAGCAAAAGTAAGAGCCTAGTTGTCTGTGCTGCACAATTTCAGTGTTGTGGATGTGTGGAAAGCGAAAGCTTCAGAGCACGACAGTCCTTTTCCTTCCCTGGAGTTGAGCCCAGTGCTGGATTAAACTAAAACACTGAGTTCACTAACCCCGCTGAACTGTCATGAGAGGGTTAAGATAGATAGATAGAGAGTTGTTTTCATAGCCTGTACACGACACAGAAACAGAGATATATTCACGCAACATAGACAGTGAAAATTCATGGCCCTATCCTAGACCCAGACTCATATCATATACGTAGAGCAGCATGAAGGATGCAGTCTGTTTAGAGCTGTGGTGGCAGAAGGACAAAACCTCTGCTAAACTTAGCTCTTCGCCATTTTAAAGTCCCGTACCTAATGTGAAGTATGGATTCAGAGGGTGATCAGTGCTTCTTGTTATTCCCAGCACAAGGAGCTTGATGGCCCTCCCACTCATGTCTGAGAGGCTGGGGTTAGGGGGTTGGAAAGGGTACACGCAGTCTTGATAAAGGTTTAATAGTTGTACTAAAATGTGTTAAGCCTAAGTTATAACTGAGCTGTAGCCACTTTGTGAAGAGATTTGCTGTGATAGAATCTTTCAAATTCATTTAATGGTGTCAGGTTTAATTAGAAAAAAACAAGAAATCTCAGTGAATATCGGTGCATTCAGTCCTCCCTGTATAATAAACACTAAAGAGTTTCTTCACTAGTGAGCAGTAAATTTACATTTCACGCACTTATAAATCTTTGTTTTTCTTATAACCAACAGGTCTAAAATCATACGGACATTTTTGCATCTATAAAATACAACACATTCGATTGTGGGATTGTTAGCAGGATAGTGTTCATGCATATACATGTACATGATCTAAATCAATGCAACATAACCAGAGATTCATCTTTTCTATTCCACACTTTGTGGATTCATTTCCCTGGCCACACTGTGGCTTGACTGCTGACAGCTCAGTTGCAGATTGAGAGTTATGCTGGTAGCTAATGTAGCCCAGAGCCATTAACCATAAGCAGAGATGAGGAGCAGGCTAAGTTCAGTTCTGTCTTTACTCCACACCCCCAGGTGTCTTTTAAATTTTCAAACTTGCAGTCCTCAGTGCAAACCGATGCTGCCTCAAGTGATATCACTTGAAGTGACTTTTCAGATTTTTGCACAGTTCCCTCTGGAGCCACAAAAGACGTTAAACAACTTATGCAGTAGTACTTTCTTTGACTAATGAAAATATATTATCTTCAGTATCTTGGAGTTGAAATTTAAATCAGCCCCACCAATAACATAAATGTGGAAATGACAAGTGTTTTTGCTTTATTACTTGAAGAGAGTTTAGAGAGTTGCACCTCATCCCTCAGTGGAATTTATGCTACCTCTTCTCTGGGTGGTTTGAGCCCTTATTCACGGAGCTACACATCTCTCTGTTTTAATTATAGGTCCTCAGGGTGAAAAGGGCAGAGATGGGCTTCCTGGCAGAGATGGTAAGTTGCAATCCTTTCTATATGTCTATCTATATATTCATTAATACTCATGATCGTTTCCTCCTCTTAGGGAAGCCAGGGTCTCAAGGGCTGCCCGGTCCCAGTGGGCCTCGAGGGGAGGCTGGGGCAAGGGGCCCATCTGGAGGCCCTGGAGTGAAGGGATCCCCAGGATCAGCAGGTAAGAGTGGACCAAACGTGGAAATTCACACGGCTCACTGTTCCAGACAGTTTCAAGCTGAGACAGTCAAATGAACCTTGTGTTAGTCGATGTTGTTGTAGTTTGTCAATAAACATGGCGTAAAAATGTGTGTGTGTGTGTGTGTGTGTGCGTGCGCCTGGTGTTACTCCCATCTTGGGGACTGAAGCCTGTTTACACCTGTAAGTCTGTGAATTTTACAGTGAGGACATGGTTTAGGGTTAGCATGAGATTAGGTTAGCGTTATGTTAAGGTTAGGGTAAGTCTCCAGGAAGTTAATGTAAGTCAATGTAAAGGAGTGAAAACAAACAAGTGTGTGTCATGGACGAGATGGAGGGTGTTACAGGATTGTATACTGAACTGTCCATTTAACCTGCTGTTTGTAGGACAAGCTAGTATTTTGAATAGGATATTTTGACCCAAGGAAACAACAGTGGAAAAATCTGAGACAGCTCCTCTAAAGACTGACCTGTGATATGCAGCTGCAGAGTGTTTGTCTTCCTCTTAAACCATTCATTCATCCCACAGACCCTCAGCTGTAAATATCAGAGCGTTCCAGCAGGCCTGCTGGTAACTTACTGTTACTTAATTTGGGCATTTTGTTGGTTGGCTTTTAAAATCATGTGTTTCTAAAATGCTGTGTCAGTGGGGAGCCAAACCATTTGTTTTCAGACTACATAGAAACTCAGTAACATATGCTGCTGCTCATGGTCACCAGCCAGAACAGAAACAGAGGCATAAATGAATTCCATGCGTTCAGAGCTCAGTGGTTATGTACAAGTAAATGACCTGTTGAATAAAAGTAAATCCACTAGCAGCTGTTACTTGAGTGATAAAATAAATGGGGGTATAGTTTGTCACAGCATCTGCTCTCGCTGTAGGCTGTTATTCCTCTGCTCTGGATCATGAACAGGGTGCCTCTCTGTTCACGCTAACATATGACCCCCGCCTGCTGCTGGGTAAAGATGAGATTTAGAGCTGAAGATAAACCAAAAACCTGCTTTCCGAGAAGCACCATGTGACTTCAATCTGAAACGAACATGAGTTATATATACACAAATCCCAGGTTCTTATGATTTCCATATGCTTGTGGTGTTATTGTTTTATCTATCTTCATTACCTCGTACATTCTCAAAAACCGGCGCAGTATCTTGCATTCAAAGCTATGTTTTCTTTATTGTGCTGATTTTTTTTTTTTTTTCGGTTTGAAGAGCAAGATAAACACAGGACTGGAATGCATCCAACGTAATGCAAAATGTAGACAAATATGGTTTTGGAGGTAGGGGTTATGGGAAAGATGGGGAAAAAGTGAACTTCGAATGTTATGAGAAGTCACAGTGTACTTTATGATAAGTCTTGATAAGTTACAGGAGAGTTATATTACAAACTGTAGCTCATTTTGACAGAGCATCCCCCTCTAGGCAATCCTTACTCTGCAGGAACAAAGATACGCAATTTCCCAGATATCTCACATAACATCAAAATGGCCTGTTTGACCGGCAATTAGAACCAATGTACCACAGACTGCAGCTCATAGTTTTCTAGAAGCAGCCAAAACATAGCTGATCATGCTGCAGTGTTTACTGGGGTTAAGTGAAAATGACACAAAGCTCAAGTCCGAGCTGCAATTACATTAGCTTGGAAAGCAATAATTAGCTCTCTGCCATTCTAAGTTGCATTAGTACATAAAGAGAAAACTGGTGAGTCTGGGACTGTCAGAGGACAAGAGGTGGTGCTTATGGTTCAGCATTACCTCAGAAGAGTCCAGACAGTGAGGTCAGATGTAGTTGGGGTGGTGCTTTTTTTTTGCACCTATAAAAAACGATACATGAGGAGGACAGATATTTTTCTTGGTGGCCCATATGGATCAGCTAATAGATTACTTATACACATGTACAAAAGATACCAGTGTGCAGTGTGCAAGTTTAATTTACTATTTGAACTTTTATTTGTTTATAATTTATTATTTGAGCTCTCCCATGTCCACAAGTACATCCCCAGCACCGGGCCATTAAAGACCATCCTCATATTAATTACAAAGAAACAAAGATGAGGAGTTTATGCGCTTGTCCTCCTCTGTCCAGCTGCTGATTTTACTTGCACATACACAGGTGTAAAGGCACACACACACTCCTGTTATACACTTTATGTAATTTATTTCTTCTCTGGTCGTTGTCCTGTCATTGTCGAGGCAGAAGACCGCCTACCAAGAGCCCGGGTGTGTCGGAGGTTTCTTCCATTAAAGGGAGTTTCTCCACTCCACTGTCACCAAATGCTTGCTCAAGGGGGTTTTGATGGGTTCTTTTCTATAATGCTCTAAGGTCTAGACCTTACTATGTAAAGTGCCCTGGTCTGATTTTTGCTATGATTTGGCACCATACAAATAAAATTGAACTTATCATTTATCATTACCATGCTGCCATTATGCTGTCTATCACCCCAGTGATGTTTTTTGTCACCCCTCCTCTCAGGCCCCCGTGGTCCACCAGGACCTCCAGGAGAGAGGGGTCTACCAGGCCCACCTGGGCCTCCAGGGCCCCGAGCACCAGCCAATGCTCGCATCCCAGAACCAGACCACAGTAAGACCCTTGGCCAACTAACACATGTCATGCCACATAGTTAAAAGTACTCTTTGGATTTTTTTAAAAGAGTATTCTACTCACTCATTATTGTGCTGCCTTAATATTGTAATTTTAAAAATGCTAAAATCAGTGCAGCAGATTTTTTATTTTTATTTCCCACATTCTTTTTCCTGGCACCTGCATGAACTACAATGTAACTCGACCGCTGACAGTCAGGTAGGAGATTTTGGGTGTGTTATGCTAGTAGCAGCTAAAGTAATCTCGAGCTGCTAGCCTCACGCAGAAGTGAGGAACGTCTGTAAAAGTCACTTCTTTCTAACCGTACACGTCCAGACGCTGAATTTATCAGACTTCACGCAGTCCACCTCTGGAACCACAAAGGTTTTATACAGCATTTTCATTAAAACAGTAACATTCCCCAAGACCTATAAACAGACTCTGATGATTTAATTTGTAATTTGATTGCCATTTTTTTCCTTTGTATTTGGGTTTATAAAAATTGGACAAAGGCTATGAATTCTTACACGTTTTTTATGGACCTGGAGCTCTCCTAGGTGTCAAAAATCCAGTTCAACAGTACATCCATGTCAGACGACCACCGCCGCCTCCATGCATGAAGAGATTTCTTTCTGGTCCAAACCAGACACTGACTCCACGTCTAAACAACATCAGTGTGTCGTGAACCCGGCATATTTTCATGTACGCAATTTCAGTCAAAGCCTTTGTTTTCATGTGAGGTGAAGTAAGTTTTCCAGCTTGACATTGCTGCTATTCATGTGTTCTCAGCAGCCTCACAGATGTGTTTGCTCCTGCTGCATGAGGGCTCCCACAAGTTTTCAAACTAATTATACACAAAAGAAACAAAGGCAATGAGAAACAGACAAGATGACGGTAATCCTTTAACTGCTACTTGCTCTGTATTGTTTACCAGCCAAGTAGAACCGAATCAAAGAGCATTAAATGGAGGCAAAGACGGTCTGAGATTGACACAGACTTCACATGCTGGGAGAAGAACCTGTCCACCACTGATGTCAGTCAACAACTTCCAGATGTATAGTGCTCAGACATGTAAGGGGGAGTGTGAGAGACAGATGGGGACCTGCACCGGCTGTTTCAAGGTCAATGTGTTGGCAGGTTTTATATGTGGATTCAGTGGTAAAATAAAGTATGCAACACACAGCTTTGTAAGCTCCGGGTTCCTGTGTGGAGAAACCTATGAGTACGTAGAGGTTGGCATGATCATTTCTGAGGCAGTGAGCCATTTCTTTCACTTCAAAGTAACAGTAGGGAACATAAGTGGGGAGCTTCTGTGCTGAGCTTCCTTTGGAAAACACTGACTTATTTGGCTTCTACGTCTGCATCAGGAGGTTGGAATTCCCTTCTGCAGAATAGGAGAGGTTCCCCTGTTAAGAGGTAAAGAGGAGGACTCTTCAGTTATAATTTCAGTTTTTGTGAGAGTGTTTTAATGTTGCATTATGCCACAGATCCAAGTGTGGGCTTAGCAGGAAATGAAGAGAGCGTGTAGAAATAGACACAGACTGAGTCTGCAGCCCTAATTCAGATGTCACCACTGGTCCTGAAGTGTGCTGGAGGATGTTTCTCAGTCCTCCTCCTCCATCTCCTCCAGCTTCTCTTGGTATCTCCTGAGGTCTCATGCCGTGACTGGATCTTTGTTTCTTGCCAGTGTAAAATGACGCAGTAGCCACACAATTCCTCTATGGCCAGCATGTTCACCACACTCTTCCTCCTCATTTCTTTAGACTCAGGTAGTTGTGTCAGTGTTATTACACAGTGGATGTGGAAGGTTTTTTTAATGCAATATTACATAATTGTTTTAATGAATGTGAAATTCTGATCTACTGCTGATCTTGAACACATTTACTCTTGCACTGAAGTCATTAGGTGAACTTTGAACATTTGTTGGAAAACACTGCCCTCCACAGGTACCTCAAATTTGTCAAAGCGAAATATTGTTTTCCTGAGGGGGGATTCAGCATCAATAAAGTGGGGTTGCATCGTGTCAGGTGCCTCTGACAGTAGACTCACAGAGAACCAGAAACAAAAGTGAAGCATTGTGCACTAACATCAAAATACTTCATTCAGAAGCTCACATTTATTAAATCACAAGTCCAGCTATGGAACAAAGTGTTTTGCCACAGGTGTCTGCACATTCACTTCTCAGATAGCACTTTCTTTCAAGCAAATCATGCATCACTCACTAAAATTGGCCTACTCACTTGGTAACCAAGGATCTAACCCTAAACATCACTATCTATAAATGAAACCATTTGATTGGAGGAGCTTTTCCTGAGGGGCAAGATAAAATCGTGTTTGTTTTGCGAGGATATAAAATTAGATTTTCTGTCAGTCAAGTAGTGTTGTGCTATGTGAAGAAAGGACAGATTATCACAGACTTATATCAACTTAGTTTCCTGTTTGCAAACAGTCCTGAGTCCTAAGCATAGCATCTGCTTCCCAGTAAACACAAACATTTTGTTTGAACTGCAGATCGTGGAAAAAACTCCTTCTTCACCAACACTTTCCATGACTCACAAGGGTTGCCTGTTCCCGGACCTCAGGGCCCCCCTGGGCCTGTTGGTGAGTGTTTATCAGTCTCTTTATTGTGTTTATCCCAAACTGCACTCAGGATGTTTGTGTTGGGTTTGAGAAACTGTTTCCCAGTTGGCATCAAAATTAAATCTCATCTTGCCTCTCTCTAAGGTCTGTCAGTACAGTTTTTTGTGATTTTTTTTTTTGATAAATAAATTCTTATTCTTAACCTACTGTAATGACCAAACACAAACACCCCTCAAAGGTGAGTCCACATGATGAAAACTACTCTAAACAATGTCACGGACACCTGCAGTTATGTGCAGATGTTGTGCTGAGGTCGGAGCTGTTCACAAGGCAAAACACAACTAACAAAACAGAGGGTGAATGTACTTGATGCTAACATGAATCTATCTGCATTATGCAGGTCCCCCAGGTCCCAAAGGCCCAGCAGGACCTCCTGGCCCGCCAGGACTGAATGTAAGCTTGCTCACAGCATAGCAGTGCACAGTCAGATGTGTTGCTGTAATAATTAATCTTTGTCCCTTCTGACTCAATACAGGGCAAACCTGGAGCTCCTGGAACAGAGGGCCCCGTGGGGCCAAAGGGAGAGCGTGGCGAGAGAGTGAGTACACTGACAGCCAGATAATATTCAGTAGGTTTTCTTCCTTTAACTTTGCAACTTAAACAAAACTATCTGAGATGTGCCTTTGGTTTTTCAGGGTCCGTTAGGTTACTCAGGAGAGAGAGGCTTTAGTGACGTGACGGTCAGTCA